ATTAAGTACGTATAATTTGATTAAAATGGAATATGAATTTGAAGGATATTTAACAGAAATTCAGGATTTCAATTTGAGAAGAATGGTTACCAAGTTTCGACTTAGTTACCATAATTTTGAAATAGAATTAGACAGGAGAAAATTCCCAAGAATTGAGGCAAACAACAGATTGTGTAAAAAATGCAACACAGGTACTGTAGAAGATGAAAAACATTTCATCCTTGACTGTTGCTATTTCACTCAAGAAAGAAATATCCTTTTAGAAGACTGTAAATTAAAAATGTGTAGTACAGCTAACCGAAATTTAATATTCACCTGCATTATAAATAGTAGTACTGCACTTGCAAAATACTTAAAAAACACAATTTATAAAACCTAATTGTAATACATATTTTATATATACCCTTTAGTTTGTTATGTTTGTAATTTTGAAACTTTTGTTGTTTTTGTTTATTTGTGTTTGTTTTTTCTGATCTGTATCCTTACCATACAGCTCCTAGGTGTAGTTGTGTAATAAAGTTATTATGTTTTGTTAATTTCTAAAATAGTATACATGTACTTGTTCATTTAAAAATTTAGAAGATTGAGGTTTGCAACTTTCATAATTATGTACGGTGATATGCAATGAATATCTCACATGAGGAGAACTAAGTGTTTGAAAGCAATCTATTCCATGTACATCAATCAACCAATCATGTCACAGTACTAAGTTGAAGCTCCGGAAAGTTTGACTACAGAAATGAGCAAGATTATTGCCGCTGTATCCAAACATGTATTACACATAGATAAGCAAGAATCCTATCAAAATATGGTCTGAAATGAAATTTAATAATTTTTTTCACAGACTCACTTCAAATTTCAAGAAATGCAGGTTTCTCATGTCATTTTGCAATAATCATGATTTCGTCAATTCGTGTGAGATCTACATCGCATATCTTATCACTAGCATACCCTTGTATTATAAATTCTTTGTTCAGCTCAATATATAATGTTTCTCACTTCTCCTCTAGGTCTTGCTGATGTCTCAGGTCCGTGTGATGCCGGCTTCTACTGCAACCGTTCTGCTAACCGACCTGATCCCACTGATGGAGTCACAGGTGACATATGTCCAGTTGGCCGATACTGCCCATCAGGTACTGATTCTAATCCACCAATGTGTCCTATTGGGACGTTCTCTAATGCGCTAGGATTGGCCAGTGAAGACCAGTGTACCTCCTGTACACCTGGGTATTACTGTGAAACACCTGGATTATTTGAACCTACAGCAGAGTGTGATGAAGGTAAGTACATTTTACGATCTGAAAAATTTATGGAACAATCTCAAGGTGTGTGCAACTTTATATGGTTATGTCACATAGCGACAATCTGCATTTACATAATTTCCATGGCTGGTGCTTAATATTTTAAGCTTTTTGTAAAAAAAAGTACTACATTTCAAACAAGAAGCAAAAATAATAATTAACACATTAGCGGCTAAAACCCTCCATGGATAGCTAAATAGAATGGGAAAAAAGAGTAGGTGATGTTTAATACAAACATATCTTTAACAGGTCTCTTTTTTTTCCTAAGGTCTGTTCTATTGTGTAACAACTTTTCGGTGGCTTCATTATTTTCATTGTAAAGGATATATTAATCCTAGTGGGCAAGGTTACTATAATTTCACTATGTTACTGTTTCAGGATATTTCTGTCCAGGTGGTAATAATGTGAGTAATCCATTCCCTTGTGGTAAGGGATTTTATTGTGACTTTGGTAGTTTTGAAGAGACACCTTGTGACTCTGGTTATTATCAAGACGAAGAGGGACAGGGCTCCTGCAAAGTCTGTAATGCAGGTAAGAATAACAGATATATTATATATCATGTTTATTATTATTTAATTATGCACACGCATATAAATTATGAAATCAAATTTGTGTGGATGATTGTGTTAAATATATTGTTTTCATGAACTCACTATTGTTTAGTAAATAAGTGTCTCATGAAATGATATATTTTACTCAAATTTCACTTTGATTGACTTGCCAAATCCAATTAGATAGATAAATTATTTATATTTCAAAATTTAACTTTAATAGAGATTCATTGATCTTAATCATAGTTTCTTGATGTAGTTTACTTTACATGTTTTTTGGTAACAACAGAAGCGCTCTCTCTTAGATTCTTAGTTCTTCTTGTTCCCAAGACAGAAAAACCATTGATATAACCTCTCCCATTTTTTTTTAGCTCCGCTGTCGACTTTGTCGAGCGGAGCTTATCATATGAGTGATTGTCCGTCGTCGTCCGTCATCCGTGTCAATGTTTTACTTTTTCGACTTCTTCTTGAAAACTACAAGCCTGAATGCTTTGATACTTGGTGTATATGCACCTTGGGTAGACCTCTCTTAGATTTGTTCATTTCATGTTGATATCTTCAATTCTCTAATTTTGGTGAATATTTTTGTCATTTTTGGTAAAAAGTGATATTTTCGACTTCTTGTTAAAAACTGTAAGTCCGATTGCTTTGATACTATTCATATTGTTCATTTTCTAATGATGTCTTCAGTTCTTTAATTGAAATGTGCATTGCTAACAGCGGAGCTATCTCAGCCGATAGGCTGCTTGTTTTTTTTCAAATAGTTATACTCACTTATAATATTTGTGAAAGTAGGCTGGTATTTTCAACCAATAGACCGTTTTCCATTCACTGCGAGAAATCGAACATAAAAACAGGACAAACAAAGGTCATAGCATTGTAGTGGCATCAAATATCGCGATGGATTCAACAAACGCGAAAATATTTTGGGGGATATTTCCATGCTTAATAATGTGCTGTACACATTTAATGATAGGCTATTTTGATGAAGTAAAAGTATTCAGACCCAATATTTCTCTGTTTAAGGTCGGTCTTTTACGAAGTAAAAAAATTCTAGTTCATAATCAAATCGTTTGATTTTTGTGGCTGATGCTTGGTGCGCATCTTTCATATAACTTATTAGATCTCACAGTTTAATGGAAAATCACCTATTGGGTATGATAAAGTTTGAACCAATTTAATTGTTTTCTGTAGGTTATTTCTGTGACAGAGCTGACTCCCCTGTTGTTGACTACACTCCATACTCTTGTATTGCTGGTTATTACTGTCCCAATGGAACTGAATATGACACTCAGTATGGGTGTTTAAATGGTACATACAGTACCACTCCGAATTTAGAAAGAGCTGATCAGTGTGATTCATGTCCACCAGGCAAATATTGTCAAGGAATTGGACTTAACGCTGTAACAGGTAAGTGTCCTTCCATCACATAAATCAGTAAATGTTCTTATCTAAAAACGGTTTTAAAGTTGCAGAACAAGCTAAAAACAAAATTTGTTCATATGATGCTGTTTTAGCTGAAAAACATGCTATAAT